CTGTTGAAGTTGATAGAATGTAATTAATTTACTATAGTGTGCATGTAAACTTATTTTAATTTAATATCAAGCTACTAACAGGTATAGTGTGCATTGAAGTACATGTATACTGGGTGATCACATTTATATAAAAAGCTACAAACATATATAATGTACATTTGAAGTGTATGTGAATTGGGTGATATTCATTTACTAGCAAGCTACAAACAGGTATAATGTGCACTTAAAGTACATGTGAACCCTAACTAGATGATATTCATTTAATAACCAGCTACACACAGGTATAATGTGCATTTAAAGTATGTAAATCCTAACTAGATGTAAGTCATTTAATAGCAAGCTGGTATAATGTGCATTTAAAGTATATGTAAACCCTAACTGAATGATTTCCATATAATAACAAGCTACACACAGGTATAATGTGCAGTAAAGTGTACATAAACCCTAGCTAGATGATATCCATTTAATAACAAGTGACACACAGGCATAATGTGCAGTAAAGTGCATGTAAACTGTGTGATCTTCATTTAATAACAAGCTACAAACAAGTATACTGTGCATTTAAAGAACATGTAAACCCTAACTAGATTATTTTCATTTATTAAACTACAAGCAGCTATAATGTGCATTTAGATACATATAAACCATAAATTGATGATATCAATGACAAAACCCCGGCCGCTATCATGTGCATTAAAGTAGATGTAAAGGTATAATGTGCATTAAGGTACAGGTAAGCCCTATATAGATGACATTCATTTAATAACATAACACAAACAGCTATAATGTGCGTGGAGGTGCATGTAATACCAAACTGGATGACATTAATGACAAACCACAAACCGCTATAATGTGCATTAAAGTAGATGTAAAACTACTAAATAGACAGCATTTTGTTTGTTAAAGCGCTGTGTCCTATAGACAAATGTCAGGGTTTTATTCCCCATAAAATACGGTTTTGCATCTCAGGGCCGCTGATCTCCTCCAGCTTCTTCTAGACACTTCCTGTATACATGTGCGTGCTCCAGCGTCAGCTGCACGTCATTTCTCAGGATTGGCCGTCTGATAAGTGACAGTGGTGGACCATTTGCAGTGTTTGTCAGCATGGCCTCTTGTGGTCTCAAGCACAGCAGCATGTGACAAGGTGAAAACACAGGAGTCTAACTGGGGGTGGTTGTCACCCTGCAACAGGAAGTGCCTGATCCTCATGACAGAGTCACCAGGTATTATTGTAATTAAAGCTGCAGATTCAAAAAAGATTTGAAAAAAACTTTTTAAATTACATTAACAGCTTAAAGTTTTTAGGCGATTTAAGGGATTAGGCTTAGATCTACTTTCTATTAGGACAAACAGTCTGATTTCAGCTGTCATCGGGTCAGCGTTGTCAATGAAACATGAATTGTCATTGGTCAGTAATGGATAACTGCACTATGTATCTTACCATTTCCCTAAAGCGAAGGATGAGATTCTGTTTAGATTCTGTCCATCAACAGCCTCATTTTGTTTTGTGAACATCTGATTTTTTTGATTGGAAAAAAAATAGATAGTCCTATCATGTCTCCCTGTGTGCTAGGTTGTTTGTTATCCTTTTTTTTTTTGGCTTGTGTTTTTTTTTAAGTGCAACATGAAAAGCTATTAATGCACAATCAGTGAAAGAGAAGTGCTATCATCGCAAGGCATGACCTTGTTGAACTATAGACCTCATTAAATATGCCAGAGCAATCCTTTTTTGGCCCTTGGGTCTCATTTCAGTGACATTCATAAAGAACCGGTATCTCATCTATTGTGTGGAATGACACTTTATTACTATTGTACTTTCCAGCCCATCGGATGAAGCCTTCAGTTGTACAGTTGTACCTAGTAGAATGCTGACCCACCATGTTGATCAACAATGATGTACGTGTTTTATAAACTAGGATTGTGCTAGCTATAGAGTATGTGTGTGTGTCATTTTGTGGTTAGTTCACAGGGTGCAACCTAATGGATTGCTAATAGCTAATATGGCTAAACAGAGCTGAACATTTGAGTCAGAAATACACTGTGCTGCTTCTAATGTAATGCACATGCATTTCACTCATTAATGTTGAGGTTCTATAGGATGAAGCAATAAAACAGGATGCTTTATGGTATTTGATATTGTTTTGTATATACTATGTGTGTGTGTTTATATATATATATA